GGAAAAAAAGGGGGCGGGGTGGGGGGTAGGGTTGTTGAGGGGGGTTGATGCCAGACACTGTTAACCGAGAGAGCTTAAAACATTTTTTTTACAGTTCTCAGTTCTTAACTATTTCTATTTTAACAATGTCGCCACATCATAATAATGTTTCAATCATTCGGGTGATTAAACATTTTTGTGTGCCCCTAACTAGGCGGCTGGCACGTTGTGTTGTAGTTTACAGCTAGGCTGCGATATCTTTGTCTTTTTTTCCCGCTCGGTTTGGGGGTTTACAGCTAGCCTGCAATAGCGGCGACGTGATGTGGGTCATGTCACGGGTAATCTTGAGAGGGCGGTTGGCAAGTTGTGTTGTTGTTTACAGCCACGCTGCGATATCGGATCAAAACTCTTCAGTCTTAGGTAGTATAGTTATAAGTATGCCGCCCTTCACGCGGTTGACCGATGTTCGATTACCCACTGGGTGCTAATTTTTCTTTTTCCGTCAAGAGGGCTGTTGGCATGTTGTGTTGTGGTTTAAAGCTAGGCTGCTATATCTGAACCTTTCGCCCAAAAACATCCAATTTCAGTAAAGAACTTTTTATCCTCCCCGCGACGCTTCACTCGATCATAAACTATTCGTTGATGACAGAAGCTGTTAACTAAGACTGCTTACAGTCCAGTTTACATTACGTGGACACGAATGCCAAGGTCATTTAACATTCGTCCCTTCGGAAAGGGGAGATGACGGGTGGGGGTTTTTATTTCCGCTATTTGTGAGTATAGAACGCGACAACATGCGGCGCTACCTCCTCAAGCTACACCGACCTGCACAGACAGTAGTGACTGTTTTTTGTTTTTGTTCTGAAGGTGGTGGTGGTAGTGGTAGCAGTAGTACTGGTACTGGATGGGTGATGTGGTAGCTGTTACACTAGCCACATTTACCTCTCATAACACATTATTAATGCTATCCATTTGTCTCTGGGTGGACACGGATGCAAAGCTCAATTTAGTTACAATATTTCGCCAGATGATGACTTTCCCATCCTTCGGCGAGGATGATATGATTAGTGGGGGAGGGGGTGGGGGGGGGGGGGGTTGATGCCAGACACTGTTAACTGAGAGAGCATAAAACATTATTTTTAAGTTATCATTTCTTAACTATTTTTATTTTAATAATTTCGCCAAACGATGATGTTTTTATTCCTTCGGAGTGGGAAATATTATTGGGGGGTTGGGGGGGGGGGGGGGTTATGCCAGACACTGTTAGCTAAGAGAGCTTAAAACATTATTTTCAGGTTCTCATTTCTCAACTATTTCTATTTGAATACTTTCGCCAGGGATGATTTTTCAATCCTTTTGAGAGGGAGATATGACTGGGTGGAGGGGAGAGGGAAGGGGGGTGAGGGTTATGACAGACACTTTTAACTGAGAGCTACTTTCTTTTTTATTTCACCATTCGGGGCCACAGCAAAGTGGCAGGGCACAGCTAGTATATTTATAAACACACAAAAATTTGGACCTCCGTATGCGTTCGATTTAGTATATGTTCAACTTGGTACACGTGCTGTTCAGACACAAAAACTTTTGCTTCCTAAACCACCTTTTGTCTGAAATACGACACAGATGCGCGTGCTAGAACATGATGGAGTCCAAATTAGTCACGACACCAGGGCGGTCAGGATTGAGGGGGAATCATTCTTTGTCTGAAGATTTAGAGCTGCAGGCCTGGTACAGCACTGCTCGCTGTGCAGTTGATTTTTTTTCCCTTGCCTCCCACAGCAGCAATATCATCATCTTATCGATGATTCGAACCTGTATCTTCCTGAAAAAGAGTTTAGCATCCCAACTGTTCGGCAAACCCTCCTTGCTCATACCGCCCCAGTTGGGTGTGTGGTGCAGCTCCCCAGAAGTGATATTGCTATTTCTTTCTCTCCCTCTCTTTCTTTCTCTCTCTCTCTCTCTCTCTCTCTCTCTCTCTCTCTCTCTCTCTCTCTCTCTCTTTCTCACTTTCTTCTTCTTTCTTCTTCTTCGCGTTCACCAGTTGTAAACTCTGGCTGAAAGTTCTGGTTGTTTGGTCACTGCTGGATGGCAGTCCTGTTCCAGAACCTGAGTGTTGCGTGTGCAACCGTTTTACAGATCTTACTCATTTGTATGCAGACTGCTGGTTCCTTGTCTGCCAGGCAGATGCACTCTGGCTTCGAAGGAAGGTCCCAATTAGTCGATTCTTACGACATGCTTTTAGGTAGGCAGTGGGTCTATTCTTGTTTTCCCTATAATAGGGCCACAGAACCCACACTGGGGTCTCTCTCTTTCTTTCTCTCTCTCTTTCTCTCACTGTCTCTTCCTCTCTCTTTATTTCTTTTTTCTCATCATTCTCTCCATTTCTGTTTCGCTCTCTGTTGTTCTCTCTCTTTGTCTTTCTCAATCTTTTTGTCTCTTTTTCTGTCGCCTGAAATACGAAGTAAAATGGAAGGTACTGAGAAGTCGCTCTTGCACAGAATGATCCAGCAGTGAGTCTGTATGGGATCTGGGTGCCAATGGAAACTCGAGGGGCGGGGTTAAGACGATTAGTTAACCAGACGAGAACAAGTTCCATCAGTATGGGAACCACTTTCAGACTGTTGAGAAAGGAGACAGAGCTAAGACGGGTTTGTACGTAGTGCTGTAATGTCGAATCGTTACTCAGATGAACCCAGATCCTCACACGCACGGATTCAAACAGATCTAATCGGACCTTTATGTCTTACATGTCTGGGTACTTTATTTTTAATTCACCCCAAACACCACCTTCGGATCCGCAGACAAGCTTCTAACCGCTACACCACGGCGGCTTCCTCCTACAAAGTTTGTTTACACATTCACTTTTTAAGTGTTTGCCAATACATTTCATATTATGTCATGTTTTGTTATATGTTTTCCCATTCAAGACATAATAATAGCCGCCATTATTATTTTAAAAAAAAGTAAAGATCCCTTTTCACGCCTTTAGGCATATCGGGCATATGAGAAAAGCGCCCATATTTTTGCAGACCATCAGCACTCTGTGGGTAATGTGGTCAGCATTACGCCGGTCGTCTTTACTTTCCCAGGACAGCCCATCCTGGTACCCATTTTAGGCTGGGTCGACCTGCGACGCCCCATACCATGATAAAAATCCACGCAGCCAGCAGTGGGTTTCGATTGCAGTAGGTTGGTTTTATGAGTCGGACTCGCAACGTCTTAGCCGGACGCCGCCATTATTGTTAAAGCGCACTTAAACGCGGCTTAAGTCTCTTTGAAGCCCCTGCTGCCTAGAAAATAACAAGGGCTCCTATTGCCCCCTCCCCCCCCCCTCCATCCATGATTTCTTTGCAGAGGCAGCGAACTTGCTGGGAATGGAACCTGTTCGGCTGCCTCGTCCGGAGCAGACATTGGCGATCACGACTATCCATTCCTGTCGTTCGTACGCTATTTTAATAATGTAGTTGCTGATTGTACACTCTGTATTATTACTCCCCCCCCCTCCCCCTTTATTTCAACATTCCCCATACATCTTTTCAATCATGGTGAATGAATTAACTCTGCGATTTGTGTATTTAAAATAATATGAATGACTATTCATTTGCTATTTTCTTATGTTGGTATGAACTATATAGTGTACACTTGACAAAATATAGAGACAAAAGCCAGGTCATAAATTCTGCAATACATTTTTATAGCCTCATTAAAATGACTTGAAATAGTCACAATAACCCAGACCACATCACGTCTTTGTGAAACAAGCGCAGTCTTTTGCAAATTTTTCTCCTGAAAATTCCCTGTGACTTCCCTTCATTGGTTGGAGAGATCAGTTATCAGTAACTTTTTTTGGTCTCTATTCACAACTCACTGATTTACTCTCTTTCTCCTGCTTCCTGACACGATTTTTCTCATGCAGGTCTTGATGTTCAGAACTGCAGATTCAGAAACTCTTTAACAAAGCATTGTGTCAACAGTTTATTTACGTGAATTATTTCCTTTGTTTGGCTTACGGTGCAAATTTTGAGTGTGTGGAAAAGGGGATGGGGTGTGTTGGTTGGGGGTGGAGGAGGGGGGGGGTTGAATATACTGAAATCCAGAACCAGACGAAGAACCATAATATTTCACCAGAGTTAACAGCCGTTTAACGTGAAGAAAAGAAGAAGATTAAGAAGAAGAAGAAGAAGAAGAAGAAGAAGAAGAAGAAGAAGAAGAAGAAGAAGAAGAAGAAGAAGAAGAAGAAGAAGAAGAAGAAGAAGAAGAAGAAGAAGAAGAAAGAAGAAGAAGAAGAAGAAGAAGAAAGAAGAAGAAGAAGAAGAAGAAGAAGAAGAAGAAGAAGAAGAAGAAGAAGAAGAAGAAGAAGAAGAAGAAGAAGAAGAAGAAGAAGAAGAAGAAGAAGAAGAAGAAGAAGAAGAAGAAGAAGAAGAAGAAGAAGAAGAAGAAGAAGATAAGGAACAAGAAGAAGAATTATCAACCTCGTCCCGGGCCATACAGAAATAAAGCCATTTTAAACGTGACAGCCAAATTTCCAGATAACACAATATTGTTTTAGAATAACCTAAGACCATTATCCCTCTATATGGTAATGGCCAGGCACACTCACTCACTGAAGCCTGTCTATATATTCTATATATTCGTAAATATGTCTGTTCAAGTTAGTTATTTCCAGAAATCATATTATTGTGTGTGTGTGGGGGGGGGGGGGGGGGGGAGTCGAGCAGCTCCGACTGATAGACAGAGAGCCATGTGAGAGTTAGAAATAGAGTAAGACACAGACAGGCATGGAACTGTTTTTTTTTTCTGCAAACGAGCGTATGTGTTTTGTTCCGCTACTATAAGCTCAAGGGCAAGATTTCACCATATTTTTACTCTAACCTGGCGTTTTAACTTCTCATAGGGCCAGTTTTTTCTCCACGGGCCATAGTTTGCCCACCTCTGGAATAACAGTACTAGAATAACATTCAGACAAGATGATGGACATGGGCACACACAGTTGGTATCGCTACCGGGACGGGCTTTCTCCTCTAAATATTCCTAATCTTCATCTCTGTAAATGACAAAGTGTACCAGTTAGGATCAGTTGGAACATACCAAGCAATACCCCAGCTGTCTGTCACTGACCAAGCCCCGTTCAAATTTGCCCGGCAGCTCCAGCTGTACCACCAAGCTCCATGGAAAGCCACAGCGAGGTTTTTGTCACTCAGGTCATTATTGTCCCTGTCAAAAGTTGTGAATTTGTTGCCATTATGATAGCTCATGCTGTCGAAGACGTTTCCGGAAAATCCGCCAATCGTCATGAGGTATTGAGCTGACTCATCGGCAACAGTGAAGTTTGTGTACTGAGCAAAATACTGGGTCTCATTGTAGACAAAGTCGATACGGAGTTCGTTATTACCCTGCAAATATCACAGAATATAGTAAATAATGGGAAATTTGTTTCGATGGTTGGTACACCAAACCAAACTAGCCCAAAATGGATTCAAGGTAAAGCAGTTGCATAAGTCGGCATGTGTGTCTTAGACGTTGCGAACGAGCTTCGTAATGCCTGACTGAGGGGTTTGATCCCTGGTGAGGCAATTTGGCAGCAGAACGTCTACTGAACGCTAGATGCGCTTAAAAAACCCATAATAGCCAATAAATGATAGGATTAGTTCTGCAACGTCCTGAAATGGATACGCAACTAAATTTTTTCCTTAACAGACATCGTTGTTGAGGTTGACATGTTAGGCTGGGATGGATCGCTAAGTGAATTAAAAAAAAAAAAAACCTGTGAAATTCATAATAAAGATAACATGGCATATACAGATAAGCTATTTCAAGCCAACGAAAAAAGTGGGAAAAAAAGACGACGAAGAAGAAGAAGAAGAAGCAGAAGAATAAGAAGAAGAAGAAGAAGAAGAAGAAGAAGAAGAAGAAGAAGAAGAAGAAGAAGAAGAAGAAGAAGAAGAAGAAGAAGAAGAAGAAGAAGAAGAAGAAGAAGAAAAGAAGAAGAAGAAGTCCAATCGCCAAGTTTCCTTCATTAAAGGTTCTAGAATGTGCCTAAAGTACCCATTGTATGCGCCTTGGTCGACACCAGAACCGGACTGGCCATTAACAAATCTTGACAATTCTGGGGTTAGAAGCCGAACCATTGGCGCCTGCCACAATAAACCCTCTACAACTTATGGAGCCGATAAAAAAAAAAGACACCAGGTAAAGAGAACTTTCTTTCCTTTTTTTCGAGGGGGGGGGGGGGGGGGGGGGGGGGGGGTCCTTGACAACATAACATACTTTGGCCATATCAAACGTCAAAATATCCCGGAAGGAACTGAAATGAAGGGCGTGGTGAGTCGTATAAGAGGGCCAGCGCCTACCAGCGTGCCGTGCGATAGGACAGGAGGCCGGAACGTAAAGAAGAGCTAGTGACGGGACCGAGTTTCTGTCAGTTCACTGTGACTGGAGCGACGTTCTATAAAAGTCTGCTACACGTTGATGATGATTATTTTGATGATGATAATCTTAACTGAATAATGACGAATCATTTTTGCCACGGTGGCTCCATGAAATTGCGCGGTACAGAAAGGTTTGGCTCTTTCTCGAGATAAATACTCACACGCAAAAATTAATAATTATTTCAGAACAAACGTCGTTTGCATTCTCACATTCTCCGATGCCAACAGAGACGCAGTTTGGCTTATTCCAACCACAATGAAGACAAAGCTGTATGGTACACAAGAATATATGGACTGCACGATAGCTTTCATAAAGGCTACCGGCCTCCTGATGTAACTTTTTTGACAGAAGTATCGAAGAAAGATCAAAAAAGAAGACGAAGAACAACAACTTCTTGTTATATTAAATCGAAAGTTTATTATTATTATTATTATTATTTTGAACACAACTGACCAGTGCATGTTTGCAGCGAAGGTGTGATATTTACATATCTGCCTTCTCCGAGCAATTGTGACATATTACCAACCCAGATAGGAGCTAGTCATTAAAAAGAAAAACAGTGCAATGAGAAACAAGAAGCTATGAAAGTTGAAGTTACCTGTGAGGTGAGGTCGTGAATAATGTCATTTCCAATCCAGAAGTCGGTGTCTGGGGTTCCAAACCCTCTCTTGTAATCATCCCAGCCTCTATAGAAGTCTTCATCTCCTCGCACACGTCTCTGAGGGTGGGAATGAAGACAAGGCAAGAGACGACCATCGAATAAAGAGAATACAATACCGGCATGCATATACAGGGTTTTCGTAGTTTTCATAGTTCAAACAACACCATAAACATTGAGACAACAACATAGAGTTCAAATACAGAGAGATGGTTAGACTTGACTAGACCTCGGGACACACACACACACACACATATGTGTGTGTGTGTGTGTAATTCCCCCCCCCCCCCACCCCCGATCTCTGGGTAGCGAGATCGGACGCCATTGTGCATTGTGTCACACGTAACAAATCCTGTGAAAGTTAGAAATCGTAAAGATTAGCCTAATGGCACTGCCCGGGCAAAATTTGGAGTTAAAAATCTACCTAAAGTATTTCAGGTTCCTCGCCGGTGCTACAGAGCCTGTGCACTGTGCTGATCTTCTTCGGACTCAGACTTGAGTTAGAAGAGGAACTGAGCACTTAACGGAAGCAGCGAAACCGTAGACTTCCGTCAATAGTGGAAACTGTCAGAGACAAGCTGCCGGAAGCTGCTACAATCATGCGGAGCTGACAAAGACCTATAGCTGACCCATACTGACCGCGACTCAATGGTGGAATAAACACATGACAAACTTTGATCTCGGAAGAAGACTGCCTGATTGAAATATTCTTCTTCCTTCTTTGCATTCACCGGCTGTAAACTCCCGTGGAAAGTCCTGGCTGTTCGTCCACTTCTGGATTTTAGTCTTGTCTCAGAACGTGAGATGTACTTGCACATCGGTTTTAGACATCTGGCTTATCTGTGTGCAGGCTGTTGCTTCCGCACCTCTCTGGCTCATAAACTCTGACTGCCAAGTAAACACCCTCTAATTAGTCAACTTTTACGACATGCTTGTTAGGGTGCTATGACCCCCCCCCCCCTTTTACCCCAGTGGAGCTCCAGAACTTACAAGGAGATTTGATTGAAATGGAGTCAAAGGCAAATCACCTGTATGATTACCCAGCCTCCACCATCAGTCTCGGTGTCACACAGCGCCAGGAGCTTCCCTTGCAGAAAAAACTTCTCCCTGGGGCTTTTGTGTGGCATACCTGGTAACAGAGGCTCCCAATTCGCTGAAATGACAAGAGAGGTTTGAAGATTATGGAAAATAGTCACACGCATTCACTGAAAATACACATACTTTAGCGATCTGATAGGAGGTGTAGTAGTAACAGTAGTACTAATGGCACAGCTTTGGTGATGGTGGTGGTGTTGGTAGTAGTAGTAGTTGTAGTATGGTGGTGGTAGTAGAATATGCATTTTATTGATGGAGATAGCAGTAGGAGCATTAGTAATTTTATAGAAGTGGTGATGGTAGTGGTGGTGTTAGCAGTAGCAATAGTATCACTAGTAGTAGCAGCAGTAATGGGAACTGCAGTTGTGGTGATGGTAGTAGCAGTAGTAGCAGTAATAGTAGTATTAGATTTAGGCATCGTGTAGAAGTGCTAGTAGTAGTACAGTATTATTTGTGGTCGTAGAAGTAATGATAGTGTTAGTAGAAGTGCTGATATAGTAGCTCTAGTAGTAGTACAGTAGTAGTTGTTGTGGTAGTAGTAATGATATGGTAGTGCTAGTAGTAGTACAATAGTAGTTGTGGTGGTAGTAGTAATGATATAGTAGTACTAGTAGTAGCACAATAGTAGTTGTAATGGTAGTAGTACTGATATAGTAGTGCTAGTAGTAGTACAAAAGTAGTTGTGGTCGTAGTAGTAATGATATAGTAGTACTAGTAGTAGTACAATAGTAATTGTGTTGGTAGTAGTAATGATTTAGTAGTACTAGTAGTAGTAGAATTAGTAGTTGTGGTGGTAGTAGTAATGATATGGTAGTGCAAGTAGTAGTACAATAGTATTGTGGTGGTAGTAGTAATGATATAGTAAAGCTAGTAGTAGTACAATAGTAGTTGTGGTGGTAGTAGTAATGATATAGTAGTGTTAGTAGTAGTACAAAAGTAGTTGTGGTGGTAGTAGTAATGATATAGTAGTGCTAATAGTAGTACAATAGTAGTTGTGGTTGTAGTAGTAATGATATAGTAGTGCTAGAAGTAGTACAATAGTAGTTGTGGTTGTAGTAGTAATGATATAGTAATAGTAGTGCTAGTAGTAATACAATAGTAGTTGTGGTTGTAGTAGTAATTATATAGTAGTGCTAGTAGTAGTACAATAGTAGTTGCGGTTGTAGTAGTAATGCTATAGTAGTGTTAGTTGTAGTACAATAGTAGTTGTGGTGGTAGTAGTAATGATATAGTAGTGCTAGTAGTAGTACAATAGTAGTTGTGGTGGTAGTAGTAATGATATAGTAGTGTTAGAAGTGGTATAAATAATAGTAGTACTATGCACTGCTGCTGTAGCGACAATCAATACTTCATCATTGTTACTGCCATTGCTTTCGCATCAATTAGTCTTCCTCTTCCCCTCCCCTCGGGGGGCTGCTGGCTGGTCTCGGGGCATGGTGTCCGCTTCGAGTGCTAGAGGTTTCGGGTTCAATCCACAGTAAGGGCTGTAATTATTTCACGTGGACTTGGACTTCTAGTAATTCCCCCTGGTCTCTGGGTAGTGAGATCGGACGCCTGTGTGCATTTTTGGGCGCGTTAAATTTTCTCTTGGCAGTTGGATATCGAAAAGAGTAGCCTAACGGCGCTGCCCGATGCTACAGAGCTTGTGCACTGTGCTGAGCTTCATCTGACTCAGAATTGAGCTAGAAGAAAAACTGAGCACTTATGGTTTACATCCGTGTGTCATGATGTTGATCCAATGTTCAAATCCTCAAAATTATAAACCCCCTCCCCACATTAAACATCTCTCCCTCTTATTCTCCCTTGCGTAGTTGCCCACGCAATTAATCGCATAATCCAGCACCAGTTCTCCTGCAATAGGCCAGTTGCCATTTATTTAAAATTGTATTTCACAACATAAAACCAAGTTGGGCACAGTCAAAAAGAATTTGAATGGAAATCCGCAGCTCACAGTGTCGCACTACACACTTAACTCAGTAGCTGGGCAACGGAAATATATCTCTCTTATCTACATATGGAGGCAATTACAACCGCGAACTAATCTCAGAAGCAAAAATGTGTCACGACTAAAAACAGTAAACCTGCCTACCCGACATACTGACCAGAAGTGAATCACTGAGTATATTTGTCTCAGAAGAAATGAACTAGAGAAACAAATAAGAGCGCACACAGAAGACAGACAAATAAGAGCGGGCACACTTGACAGACAAACTTACACAACGCATAGGGACAAACAAGCTCAATTGACAGTCACTCGCACATACATACACCCACGTATGCATGCAGACACACCCCAAGGCCACAAACACACTAGACACACACACTCACCAGATAAATATACAAACACAATCATATAAGCACGCACTCAGACAAACATACACCTATAAACGTAGCCATACATACATAAACTCAGACATACACACACATATAAACGTAGCCATACATGCATAAACTCAGACATACGCGTACATACACACACTAGGGGAAAAACATGTACAAAATACGCATGCTTGCCAAACCTCGTCGTTGTCATGTGTAGAGTTCAGCAAATCCTTGATGCTAGACAGCTCCACTAAGACACTGCCCAGTGATGTCTTCACAACCTCATTGTCTTGTTTCAGAACCTCATTGTCTTGCTTTAGAACCTCAATGTCTTGCTTCACAACCTCATTGTCTTGCTTCAAAGCCCTATTGTCTTGCTTTAGAACCTCAATGTCTTGCTTCAGAACCTCATTGTCTTGCTTTAGAACCTCAGTGTCATGCTTCAGCCCCTTGAGCTGTGTCGAAATTTGAGTCAAGCTGTTCAAGATGGCTTCTGAAAGAAAACGCCGTTAATGATTGAGATGTTTTGTCGTCTTTTTCATTTTTTTCCCCATAAAGTTGTCAGCCGTAGATAACTGGGTAACCATACAGAAAAGGAAGCCACGGGTCTATGGATAATAAGCTTTTTTCTCAGCGACTGAGCGACCAACATCGATGGCTGGAAACACAAAATTATAACAGTGAAAGGCTTGAGATTCATGTATTAGCTCTTTCCACGACTGGTGCCCCTTCCACATATACAATCATTTAGACTGATTTCCCAATGAATGCGCATATGAATTCCCTTCTGATTTGGAGCAGTGTGGTAGAACAAGTTTAATAGCTGGTTGTTTTAACACTCGGTCAAAAAAGTGGGGAAATCAGAATGTAAACAGACAGGAAGCTGCATTATTTAGGCCCCAATAAACATAAGCGGCACCATTTTAAGCGATTAGCAGACAGAGCAGGAGACTGGGATGGAGTGATCCACCTAGCATTAGCGTCCACTACAGATGCACCCACAATGCGCGGGGATGTTCCACGGCACACATTCGAACTTACAGCCAATGAAAATCAGGTTGGTACACTGTATTCGGTGCGCCAAACAGCGAGTCATTTGTGCAACCACCGATATAGAACGAACTGGTGGAAAAGGCATGGGAGGCACAAACACTGGTTATGAATGAATAGCAGAATGTAGGTAATTTGGACCAGCAAACGATGAAGATTTGGAGCGAAAACGTCAAAATAAACAAATCCTGAGTAAGGCATTTAAAATCTCGAGTAACGCATTTAAAATATGTGCCAAAGAAACAAATGAAAGCAGCTGGTAAAATTTTTGTGACAGACGCAGTGAGATAGAAAACACTACATTGATTCTAGATTGTGCACGACAAATGAATAGAAAAAGTACCAGTCGTCAAATTCTAAACATTCAAGATTCAGGAGGTAAAATATTAACAAGTGACAGGGAGAAGGGGCAAGAGTTTTTTGGTATTTAATCTAAACGGATAAAGACGATAGGACAGATCAGAGCTGTAGTCCTGTTCCAGAACCTAAGTGCTGCGTCGGCATTCGTTTTAGAGATCTGACTCATCTGTATGCAGACTGCTGGTTCCTTGCCTCTTAGGCAGATGTACTCCGACTACGAAGGAAAAATCAGTAATCAGTAATCAGTTTAAGCAAAACGTGTCATGAAATAAATTACCAAACATGGCCTATAGAACAATTTTGGTCGCTGGAACAACTAAGTTCGGTTTTGTGCCAAGCCCTCTGCAGCAGCTGTTCGAATCATATGAGATAATGTCGGATACTTTCGACTTGAAACCATAAACGATACTATTGACTTCTTTCAATAATATTCAAGTACAATACAGGCCATTGTGCTGACATGTATATTAATGTCGAAGGTAGTTGCAGTATGAATTATTCAGCCTTCATACATTCTAGGCCAAGGCGGAATAAATTGTTCCTTCCTGATTATTCTTTTTTATTCTCCATACAATTCCTGAAAATGTATTGATCGGCACTCATAGAAAGAAGTGGAAAGCTAGAAGAACACACCAGACAACATAACAAATCGAAAGCTATAGTTACCATGCCGTGAATCGAACCTGTCACCCCCAGGCGGCGTGTGCACCCTGCTATGGAAACAAGCTTTATTTATGGTTATTACACAACATGGTTTTGTGAGGCCGCGGTGACCCCAGTGAAGAACTGGTAAGGAAAAAATCCTGCTTCTGAGGATCGAGCCTACACCCTTCTCTAGGCCAGCAAACTCTCTTAATCTTTATTGTAGAGGCTCCCCGCTGATCTCCGGAGAGCGCAGCCTTGTAGCACGGGAAGCTCAATATACGGTTGTGAGGTTAAGCAGTCATGGGCAGGACGTGACGATTCATTGGGTGAGCCCAGAACCAGAGCATCATGTGTCGGCTCTGCATTTATGGAAGCCTCCTTGGATGGCGGGGAATGCCTATGATCTGCCCCTGCCTTTCCTTGAGGGCTGACAATTCTACCTAGGGCTGCCTTAAGGACAACATTCCGGGGGCCACACTTGTTAAAGGTCAACGAGGACACCACACAAATGAGGCAACATCTCGACCCACACAAAACAATGGCCACAGTCAACCTAGAAATAGGCTTGACGTCTTCCCTCGAAGTCGGAGTACATCTGCCGGAGAGGCGGGGAACGGGAACTGCAAAAAAATAAGCCAGTAAAACGGATGTACAC